CAGGGAGCATTCAGATCAACTCATGTATCATGCAATGGCACACCTGATAGGCAGGGGGACGGCAGCTTCCCATGAACTACCATGCAGAAAGCCAGTGCTCCGTAATCCTAGTTCAGTATAACATTGACTGAGCAGCTACAATGTACAGATAGAGGGCCAAATATTGTGCATAGAAGGGTGAAGAAGATGCAATTCTGGTCTGTAGGAAGCACGTGTTGAAGTATGTAAGTTCACAGCTATTTGTAAAATGAGTGGGCCTGGGGATAAGTTATGACAATAAAGACACTAAGTGCAAAAGGGACAAAGGAAGTACTCCCTTTCTTGAGGCAGAGAAGACTTCTCAACGGTGACATTAGATATAAGCCTTCCAAGGGGAGCGTGCTATGATGGCTGGAGAAAGAGGAGAATGGAGTCCTAAGCGGGAGCCACTGTGTGTTAATATAAGCATGGAAGGCTTCTACATATGCTGTTCGTAAGGGAGAATCACCCAGCAGAGCTGGAGATGAGATCATCGTCAAAGGCGGTAGCGGAGCAGCACAGCCAGGTGGAGTAGTGTTAGAAGATCACCGAGGTGAGGAATAACATGATGAGAAATTTGAACACAGTGGGGAGCCATGGGAAAACTTGAACATAGCAATGAGATGATTTGATCTCTGATTTAAGATGAAAATATGGCGGTAAAGGGAAGAATGGTGGGGAATGAGCTAAAATGCCCCTTAGCTATTCAAAGAGGATGCCGCCGTAATCACAGCAGCCTGAATTTAGGTGATGGCAACACGCAAGAAGAAAAGAATTCACAAGGCACGATGGCCAAAGATCAGCCAGGGTTAGTAAATAAAATATAATAACAGTTTCTGACTGTAGTGGCTTGCAGATAGTCACGAAATAGGACAGGGTCAAGATCAAAAGCAATCAGGAATAAGTGCTACTTAAACCAGAAAAATACTCATAATGCGGAGCTCATGCTGGTGTAGTCTCGAACAAAACTGGGTGATGCCATTTTCTATAATGACTGTGCAGTCTGCCATGGCGGTGGCCCAGGAAGTGACAGCAAAGGCAGAGGATCTCCAGGTCACCTGTTCAAAGTCACAGTTCTCAGGTGTCTAAAACTTGTTCCCATATCTGACAGCTGCTCAATGACTTATGTGAAAAGAATTAGGGATCTTAGTTTAGGTTCTAGCAAAACAGGTGCTCCTCTTTATAACCAACACCTTTGCTACGATAGAGGAGACTTTTTTGAAAGAAATCAAATCAGCTCTAGTCCTTAGCTTGCCTGCTGAGATGCTTTTGGAATAATCAGAGCCTGTTTTGTTGTTTTTTTTTTTTTCCCCAAGAACGTTCAACTATGGCATAGATGATTTGTTTGAAATGTTTTAAATTTTTTTAAATCAAGGGTAAGAGTTAGCCAAGAGCAATAAGGCAATCATTTAATACAGCTCTTTCTGCTACTTCTATCTTTCATCTTTTGCAGTCCCTTCCAAAAGGTTATCTGCCACATTACAGGTCTGTGTTCATTTTTTTTTTTTTTTTTTTTGAGACAGAGCCTCATTCTGTTGCCAGGCTGGAGTGCAGTGGTGAGATCTCAGCTCACTGCAACCTCCACCTCCTGGATTCAAGCAATTCTCACAAGTAGCTGGGATTACAGGCAAGCGCCACCACACCCGGCTAATTTTTGTATTTTTAGTAGAGACGGGGTTTCACCATGCTGGCCAGGATGATCTTGATCTCTTCACCTCGTGATCTGCCCGCCTCGGCCTCCCAAAGTGCTGGGATTACAGGTGTGAGCCACCACGCCCGGCCCGTTTCTTTATCAATGTATGATCTAAAGAAAACGTTGAGCCTGGAGTGGTGGCTCTTTCTCCCTTTGGAAAATAGTGCAGTGGCACCATAGCTTTATTGTTGTTGTCGTTGTTGTTTGTTATTGTTTTTTGAGACAGAGTCTCACTCTGTTGCCCAGGCTGGAGTGCAGTGGCACCATTTCGGCTCACTGCAACCAACTTCCTTCCCCTGGGTTCAACCGATTCTCCTGCCTCAGCCTCCCAAGTAGCTAAGATTACAGGCGTCCACCACCATGCCCAGCTAATTTTTGTGTTTTTAGTCGTCGGGATTTCACCATGTTGGCCAAACTGGTGTCGAACTCCTGACCTCAGATGATCCACCCACTTCAGCCTCCCAAAGTGCTGGGATTACAGGCATGAGTCACTGTGCCCCGTCGGTTTTTGAATTATATATATTTTAAAATGTTTCCTCCCCTTTAAACCCAAAGTTCGAAGTGGGAGGATATGTGTCTTGCGCATTATGTGGGACACACAGATCGCTCCTAAGTACCGCCACAGCAGTAGACTTCTTGGGCTAGGGGGAAGCCCAGTTTCTCCAGGGACCACATTTGTTTAACTTGTCCTTGCATGTGGACTGGCCTGTGGCAAACCACTGTAAAAGAATGAAGTCTCCTAAGAACTGTGCTTGAGTTTGTACATTCCTTGGTGTCGGCTAAAGCCACAGGAACTTTGGCAGTATTTTGAAGTTACACCCATTCCCTATTGCAATGCAGGTCTGTGAGATAATACCTTAGCTCTGCCAAAAACCACAATGATTATCAACAGCGTAAGTAATCAAGTAAAAGCACTTTTCCACAGCCCAGTAACCAGATTGTCAAGAAAGCAAAAAGTAGTAGCAAAAATTGATTGCCGTTTGCAAAGATAATTTCTATCTGAATTATATTACTATATTGCAACAGTGATGTATGATGTGTGTCCAGCATCTTTGTAATAAACATTTTAGGTTTAATTTAGAAATCTCTGAGTCATTAGAAAAGTTCTTTCTCTTTATGATGAAGGGGCCATGGTGAACTCAGCACTACCACAGTCCTAACAAGGGAAAGAAACAGGCGGACAAGCTACACATGTGAAAAGCAGAATTGCTCCTAGCTGAAATAATAGGAAAACGTTCAAAATATAGATTGCTGCCTGCTATTGAATAATTAATACAAGCATGGCTGTTTTACATTATCAAGCAGCCTGAGTATTTTCAATGTTCCAATACAACGTGATGTGGTCATTGATTTGTTGCTGTTCATTCATTTCTGCGAGGAAAAGGGACTTCGAATTCCAGCAAACAAGGCCAAATAGAGCACCTGAACTAGACCTTCCCGCCCCTCTGCTTCAATTATGGCTGACATTGGTATTCAGTAATTCAGGTTGGCAAGATGGTTTTAGAGCTCCACCCCAGCCCTACACTGCTGGAAAATCTTATTTAAATTGAATTTTTCACTCTTCTGTTGCAGAACAGGAAGAGGCCTGCTGAAAAGCACCAGGCCTTACTGGAAATTAACGCAGCGGAAACACGATACTCTTGAGCCTTAGGCCTCCTCCCAAGATTAGTAGATGTGACTCAGTGGTTCAAAACCAGGTTGCTTATTGGAGTGACCTAAGAGGCTTTTTAAAACTACTGAGAGCTAAGCACAGCCTTCTCCAGGGACCGTTTAATTATAAATCTGACAAGGGTTGGGCCAGGCATCAGTCTGTTTATAAGCCCATCTCCCGACCCCACGACCCATTGAGTCTAATGTCCAACCTGGTTTGAGAATTAGTTTCATGTTCTGGCATGCCTGTGCGGAGACAGAATTTTGTGAATGTTTGCTTAGGAATGTTTGCAACTGTTTATCTAAGAGCCAGTGGGGCTCAAACTTATAGGTCCATTGGAGACACCCAGAAGATTTTAAGATCAATGACACTTGGGTCTTACCCTAGAGAGATTCTGATTTTCTGTGAGTGGGCATCACCCCCAGGTGATTGTACTGTGTAGCCAAGTTTGAGAAACACTGCTCTCAGGCTATGAAATCCATGGGGGCTTTGCCTGTTCATTTACCTCAAAGCCTGAGGAAGTGCATGATGAGTATTTACAAGATAGGACTCCATGAAACCAGTAAACAGCCCACTAAAAAAAACACACAGGAATCCCTCCTGTGTCAGAGCGATCAGATGCTGATGAGTAGACGTGCAGAACTGAGCACGTACATGAGTGCCTATTTTGAGTAATAAGATGAGTAGTATCCATAGAAACAACTGACGAATAATCATCGTGCTAATTAGATAAGTGATTTCCAAAACCTATTTGAATGATAACTAACGTAAAAAACTTCAAACTTCATATTCAGCGACATGTTTTTCCTTACTCCTCTTACTGCTCTGTCAAGGGTTGGCAACCGAGTCAATAAAAGTCATGTTTTTGAACCTCAACGATGTTGATTTACCCTCTCAGAAAGAATTACTGAGTGAAGATTAAAGTAGTGTTCAGCCATGAGCATGGGTTTTGGAGTCACACAGAACAGAATCTGAGCCCTTGCTCTGCTGTTTGCTAAGCAGCCAGCCTCAGGACCGTGGCTGAACCACCCTGCCCTTGTCTTCTCAGTACAAAGCAAGGGATACTGTCCATTTCACAGCATTGCTATAAAGATTAAAGACAATGTCCCTCTTAAAATGCTTTGCACATAGCGATTACTAGAAAAATCACAGTAACTATTGTTAAAATCATTTCCTAAATTTGGGGGCTGTTCAGAGTTAACGTGATATCAGAACTAAATCACTGTGGGCCAGGCACAGTGACTCACTCCTGTAATGCCAGCACTTTGGGAGGCAGAGGTGGGTGGATCACCTGAGGTCGGGAGTTCAAGACCAGCCTGGCCAACATGGAGAAACCCCAACTCTACTAAAAATACAAAATTAGCCGGGTGTGGTGGCACACTCCTGTAGTCCCAGCTACTTGGGAGGCTGAGACAGGAGAATCACTTGAACTTGGGAGGCGGAGGCTGCAGTAAGCCAAGATTGCACCATGGCACTCCAGCCTGGGTAATGGAAGGAGACTCCGTCTCAAAAAATCCGTCTCAAAAAAAAGAACTAAATCGCTGTGTAAAAGATGACCATGTATAGAGGTCACACAACTCCTTCTTATTGCCATCTCACCAGAAAACACAGTAGTGCAGCAACTGGGTTTAGCCACCCTATTTTTCAGCACATTTTGGGTTTTGTTTTGTTTTTGTTCTTGCCAATGAACAAGATATTTGGTGGCTATCTCTGGCGCTGTTATCCTTCCTGCGCCACACTGATTCCTTTCAACTGTTCCTCACGGTGAGGATGACTGGATGATTCTTGATGTTTTTTCATTCCTCTCTCTTCTGTTTCTGCCTCAGTGCAGCTCCCAAATCCACATCTCACAAATAAGTTTTGAAGTTTAATAGAAACAGAGGATGCTGCCATCCAGCTTGTTTGCACAGCTAACCAAACATGCCTGTGTGATGTGCTCAGACCCCTCTGTTCCTCTCCCTGCTCCCAGGAGTCAGTGTCCTGGAGCTTGGAAAAGTCCAAAGTTCACTGCCCTGACTCCCTCATTTTATATGTAGATGCATCATAGCAAGTACCTCAATAGAAAGGTTCTAATTGACAATGTGCTGTTGCACACTCGAGGTACCTCTCAGCAGTTCTGTAAGGGAGATATCATTATAGATAAGCAAACAGAAGCTCAGAAAAGATGTGACCTTCCGGCAGTCACACAGCTGACAGAGCTGGGATGAGAACCAAGGTCTGCTACTCCCTAGTCGAGCATTCTGTTCTTGAGGCAAGTTTGCTGCTTTCTAGTTTTTCTGAGACTCTGTCCATAGCGCCACCATCGTGAAAGCGTCATCTATTTACAGCACAGAAGTGAAGCGATGTTAACTTTTCCCCCTGAGACTTTCTATCAGATAAATGTTTTATGGCCAAATGCATGACTGACAGCACTTAGCCATCCAACGAGGTCTCACACTTTGAAGCAAAATAAAGTAGTCCTAAGAGGTTCCCAAAGCTCCCCACACACTGACACTGCAGATGACATGACACGGGAATTCTGCGAGCTGTGCTATTGCTCTGGTCTCTCTAAGCCTGATGCGCTTGACCTGTGAGCTGGGGAGCCCCGTGCAGCTGTGTGGGTGCCTGCAAGCAGCACACATCGGACACTGGGCTCGGAAAGGAAAATGCAAGAAAAAGACGGCAGGCCTTCTTACGAGCAACCATTTGCCTCGGGACAGATACATCAAAAAGAACAAATGACAACCAGTCAGAGTCCACCAAGGGCAGAAAGATACGACTACTAGTGATGAGAAACCGGTTAACTGCCTGTTACCCCTAGCACCAGAAGCGGTATGCTACAGAACAATAAAAACATATGAACTCTCTACAGATCTCATTGACATGCTAGTAAGAGCATCCAGCAATAATAAGCCCCAAAATCTCGGTTGTTCATGAAGACTATAAAATCATAGAAGAATCTCAGGACTGGCAAGAGTAGAATTATCCACATTATCACTACCCTTAAAGATCGTATAAATCTGTTCCTTCTCTAATGCAGGAATTTCCATCACAATATTCCCACCTAGGGATAACATAGTCAAAGAGACCCCTTTTGACCCAGGCTGAAGAAAGCAGCATAATGTAGTTTCCCAAAGTGCAATACACAGTATTGCAAGTATTTTAGAAAATAAAGGGATCAGGCCAGGCTCAGTGGCTCATGCCTATAATCCCAGCACTATGGGAGGCCAAGACGGGCAGATCACAAGGTCAAGAGATCGAGACCATCCTGGCCAACATGGTGAAACCCCCTCTCTACTAAAAATGCAAAAAAAAAAAAAAAAGAAGAAGAAAATAAAGGGATCAAACTTTATAATTTTTTTTATAACGTACACATTAGATAAAACACAACCAGTACATTAAACGCATAATTTCACATCAATTACTGTTTAGTATTAGGGTAATTTTTTTAACTGAAAAAAATAAGTTGACTTAAAAATATTGAACACAGCCGGGCGCGGTGGCTTAAGCCTGTAATCCCAGCACTTTGGGAGGCCGAGGCGGGTGGATCACGAGGTCAAAAGATCGAGACCATCCTGGTCAACATGGTGAAACCCCGTCTCTACTAAAAATACAAAACATTATCTGGGCATGGTGGCGCATGCCTGTAATCCCAGCTACTCAGGAAGCTGAGGCAGGAGAATTGCCTGAACCCAGGAGGCGGAGGTTGCGGTGAGCCGAGATCGCGCCATTGCACTCCAGCCTGGGTAACAAGAGCGAAACTCCGTCTAAAAAAAGAAAAAAAAAAAATATTGAACACATAAGAGTATGGATGGCATAGATGGTGCATGGTTTTGGTGAAAATAGTGAATATTAAAATGACTAAAACTTGGGAAAATGTTAGCGTTCTGGTTACAGAATGGGCTTTGGTTACATTATGGCTTTGGAAGTAGAGTGACTTGACTTTGAATCCTGGATCTGCTCTGCCATAATCTGGTGAGATTTAAGTCAGTTTCCCAACTATAAAATGACGACAATGACAGCAACCTCAAAGGATATTAGCAAAGATTTAATTAAATGAGGTAAAGGGCCCAGCATACGTGCTGAGTGACTATCCTTATTAATATTATAAATTGAAGTAAACCAAGTCCCATCAAGAAAACGTAGTTTGTGTAATTTACAGAAGCACCACAATTAGACACTTAACGGGAGATCGATCCTGCCTATAGTTGGCTTCTTATCCTGCCCCAACTCCAGGACTATCACAAACCTCCCTAGGGTTTACAGTGTGCTCACAGCTGCCATAGAGTTGAGTTGATCAGCTGCTGGACGCCATGGCTGTCATATAGAGATGCTAAAACCCTCCAGATGTAGGTGCCGACGCTTTGGGAAGCTGTCTTCCTAAACAGCACGTTTGCGTTCCAAGCACACAGCTGACAGCTCTGCTCCCTTGCTAAGCCAGAATGGGGGCAGCCTGCAACCTGACCACAATGGGAAACATGAGCTGTCTCAGTCATGGCTTCCTTGCCTTGCCTCGCCCTTCAAACACTGCAATCCTGTGGGGATTTCTTCAACAGCCTTGTGCTGGCAGAGGACTGCGATGAATTGAAACAGCCATTGCCTTCCCAAGAGAAAGCTTCTTAACAGGTAGACATCAAGCTCAGGACTGTCATCCAGCCGCAAGGCTCAGCTGCAAGGCTGATGTCTCAGAGAGGCAAGAAAGTGCATCCAGTCTCACCTGGCAGATTCAGGAGTCATTGTCATTCTTTGCCTCTCATAAACATCACATGTACTCAGTGAAGAAAATGTAAAAGGTACAAAATATTTTTAAAATAAACTTTCCCAAATGACACGGCCCAAAAAAAACTTACATTTTGATGCTTCCTTCTAGACTTTTCCTATAAATTTTTTTTACAGTTGCAATTGCACTATTTATACATTTAACATTGTGTTGGAATTTCCCCCATATCATTAGGTTTTCAAAATGTTTTTCGTAATAACTAGATTATTGTGTCTTATAGTATATTAATACTAACTATAATGTCCTTGACCAATCCCCTGTTATTAAATGTTTAAATGTTTAATGTTTATATTATGATGAGTAATTCTGAAATAAATATCTTTCTGCATGCATCTTTGTTAACATGTCAAATTAAGTGTGGAATTACTGGATTAAATCATATAAATGTTTTGAGTTTCTTGATATATACCATTTAGTTACTTCCCAGTAAGATTATATTACTCTGCAGCCTTACAACAGTCATAAGAAACTGCCATCTCACCAAATTCTTGCCATAGATTTATCCTTTTAAAATTCTTTGCTAATTTAACAGACAAAAAGAAAATCATGTCTGCATCATTTTTCTCTGCATTTCTCTATTGCATTCCATTTTTTTACATGTTTTTTAGCTTTTGTTTTTTCCTCTTCTGTGAACATTCTGATCATGCCCTTTGCCCCTTTATCTTTTGAGAGTTTTTTTTTTGCTAAGATCTATAATTAAAAGCATTCTCACTTCAGTTTCTCTCAAATCCATTATACCTAATTTTTCTCCCACTGAAAGAACAGTACATTGCATTGTCTTTTGTGTCGGGGTTAAAAATGGTTCCTCTGTCATTTTATTCCTCTGTAATTGAAATATAAAAACTTTCCTTTATGGAACGCAACCTGACACTTAAACTTGTTTAGGAAAATATATAATGGGTTATGCTTATTTTAAATTGCCTTGTGTTTATTACTGTTTGGGAATGTTTTACTTCATGAATTTAATTTCATAGACTAGACAGACTTTTGGTTTAAAGTACATGATTATGGTTTTTATGGAGATATTAAAATAAGAACAGAAATATGGTCAGTTGATTTACTTTCAAAGATTATACCTCTGCATTAACTTCCCCCATAAACAATGCCTGAGATGACCCAGAACAAAATACATTAAACTTTCCTTAGGTTGAATGAAACAAAAACTAACCGCCACAATGTTTATAAAAGCAACATTTCCATACAGGTGACCCAGATAAATTTCTTTCTCCAGGGACCCTCTTCCGAATCACCCAGGCGGAATTCTTCTTTCCCCCAGAATACCCACAACTTACTGTGTGTGCTTCAGAGATGTTAACCATTAAAATCTACCTCATGGCCGGGCGCAGTGGCTCACACCTGCAATCCCAGCACTTTGGGAGGCCAAGGCGGGCGGATGACAAGGTCAGGAGTTTGAGATCAGCCTGGCCAACATGATGAAACCCCGTCTCTGCTAAAAATACAAAAATCAGCCAGGCAAGGTGCCACCCACCGGTAATCCCAGCTATTCTGGAGGCTGAGGCACGAGAATCACCTGAACCCAGGAGACAAAGGTCGTGGTGAGCCAAAATTGTACCACTGCACTCCAGCCTGGGTGACAGAGTAAGATAATGTCTTTAAAAAAAAAAAAAGAAACTACCTCAAACTAGCGATACACATGTGCATATCTGTCCTCCCCCATCAAGGTGATGAATTTCTTTTTTTTTTTTTTTTTTTTAGATGGAGTTTCGCTCTTGTTACCCAGGCTGGAGTGCAATGGCATGATCTCGGCTCACCGCAATCTCTGCCTCCTTGGTTCAGGCAATTCTCCTGCCTCAGCCTCCTGAGTAGCTGGGATTACAGGCATGCGCCACCATGCCCAGCTAATTTTTTGTATTTTTAGTAGAGAGGGGGTTTCACCATGTTGACCAGGATGGTCTTGATCTTTTGACCTCGTGATCCACCCACCTCGGCCTCCCAAAGTGCTGGGATTACAGGTGAGCCACCGCGCCCGGTGATGAATTTCTTAAGGGCAGGAACAATGTTTTATTCATCTGTGTATCCACGTGTGACACCAATACAGAGCTTTTGATGTAGTAGTTGTTCAGTAAACATAGGTTGAGGTGAACTTTGAGAATCTGAGAAGGAGGCAATCTGAAACAGTAAAACCACCATAAGCTGTGGAGTCAGGAGTCAGCTTGGAATCTGCCTCTGACACTTAGCAGCCGCGTGACTCCAAGCCAGTTAACTTAGCCTCCTGAGCAGCTCGGTCTTCTAATGTGGTCATAGCACTGCCTATCGGGCAGGCCCTGTAGGCTGGCCACCCTAATACCCATCCCCAATGCATTTCACCCTTGCCTTCCTCAACCATGAAGACTAGAAGCTAAATCTCCCAGTTTCTCTTCTGCTGGGAAATTTATGGGCCATAGCTCTTGCCAATGACACAAAACCAGATAACAGTTGAGGGGGTCCAGGAAGGCTTTGCTCACACATTCTAGGTAAAGTGAAATGTCACATGATCCCACAGGCAGGTACACCATCCACCTCACAAGCATGAGGCCACAACTCGAAGACAATCCCCAGAGGGCAAAGGAAGATGGACTGACAGCTAAAGTCTGGGGCCTTTAGGGGCATCACTGAGGATGAATTTGACAGCCACCTCCCTCTGGCTTCTTCTTACATGGCAGAAATCATAACCATATTTGTTTAAACCACTGTGAATGGGATATTTCTATAATTTATCCCAAATACATTCTTAAGTGACACCTCTACCTTATAGGATTACTGTAACACTACACATAAGTCACCGATGTCAAGTTTTTAGCGCAGAACCTAATGCATCGTAAGCAGTCGATGGGGGTAGATTTAACAGCACGAGACAGAGTGCCGCATTGCTGGTGGACCACAAGGAATTCTGGAGCATGGGGTGGGTGAGAACTTCAAACAAGACTCTGGAGCTAGCAGCAGGGAATGGAAAAGAAAGGACCCTATAAGCCACATTAAGGATAGGAATACGTCCTGAGGGCAGCAGAAGGGAGTGAGTCAGGAGAGAGAATGAGATGGGGTGTGCTTGATGATCTCCTATTCTCCGAGCTCCTGGAAATGAAATCCCCTTTAGCAACCATCCACACCCCACCCCCACCCCATAGGGCTGGAGACTTTGCAAGAATACGAGGTCTCATGTACACTGTTTCTAAGCCAGGCTCCTTTAAAATTTGTTGTTTTATTCCAGGCTTCTCTTGAGTCTACTCTTACTTTAATGTATCAGCCTCCCACTGTCCAGTGCTCTAGGGCTGGGTGCACACCCCCAAAAACCATCCATCTGTGGCTGGGTCCCCAGTATTAGTCCCAAGTACAATATTGTCTCTGTCTCTACTTCTTCTGGGTACCTGCCTTCGGTACCCTCATTAGTAGCCCAGAGCTTCATAGACAGAGGCTAACAAAACATGGGGCCAACCTGTATTCTCCCCCTTCCAGATCTACTTTCTGAGTTTATATATCCCTGGAATAACATTCCTGTTCATGGAACAAGGGATGCTAATACTCTGGGATATTAGTAAGTACCTCATAACATAAAATCAAATCATAGTCAAATAAGTTGACAAAGTATGAGGCTAAACAGAGTTAACAGATTTTTTTCCTACTTCTCGGAGCTTCTGTGATATTACTGTACATATGTGAATATATAGAAATAAAGATAGTGCAGTGTTTCCCATATTTGTTTGCCTGCAAATCTTTCAGTCCAAGAATATCTCATGGGCTAGTGCTCCATGAGACATATTTGGGGAAATCCTGTGTTAGAAAAGCAGGCTTCTGAATTCCCACCCATAGTGGGACAGCCCTCCCCTGCCCCTAAGTAGTCTCTTCACTCTCCAGATTTTCCCTCATTCCTAGACACACACTGGCCCTTCCTTTTCTTCTCACGCACATCCCCCCACCACCAGCCCCAAACCTACATTCCAGTCCCACTGGTTTTTGCCACTGCGTGGATAAGTCATGGTCCTCCCACCCTCAGGCCTTTGCACAAGTTATGCTCCCTACCTGGAAAGTTTACTCCACTAGGGAAGCTCCTGTTCACATTTCAAGACCTGACTTGAACAGCCTACCCACTGTGAAATTCTCCCCAATTATTCAGGGCCAAGTTAATTACTCCCACCTCTATGGTTTAGGAGAACTTCGCAATGACTCCTACTGCAGCATTTATTACGCTGGTTATGCTGGAAGGTTCATCCTCCTTTCTGAGCAAGCTATTAATCCCCCAAGTCGTGTTTTTCCATAGTCTGCTCCATGTAATCAGCAGATCATGAGTAAGCATAAGTTTAATGAATGAATGAACAAACAGCTACATGGAAGTCCACAGGGACTTCCTTCACTATATCTTTATCAAGGGTGTTATGGATTAAGGTCACACTCATTACCACTGCAAATAATGAGGTCCTACTACAAGCTCAGGGAACCGGATCATGCCAAAATCCCGCAGCCCTCAATTATTTTGCTGCTTAAAGCAGAGAAAAATAAATAAATTTATATTAATGGCTAACAGAATAGAACAAAGCAATTCTAGTTTTAATATTAAACGGTAACATCAATCACCGATCAGTATTTTACATGCCATGTAAGTGATGGAGATGACCTTGTCTCTGGTCATTCTGTACAAGCCATCTCCCAAAAAGGAACGGGTCTCCTGCAAATATCCATGGAAAAGAGCCACTGCTAAGTACGCAAGGCAATCAACTCCAGTCAGTTGCAAGACTTGGACCCCAGCCTCGCCCACACCAATTACCCCAGGGAAAGGACAAACACTTCCCCAGCCATGAACACTGTGGTGGTGAATCATGTCAATAGCTCATCCTATCACACCAACCACAACCTCAAAGCTGAACCCCAGTCCCCAGTCCTGCCAACAAAGGCACTAATGCCTCTACAGTCATAAACACTTGGCTGACAGGATAGGCATGGTGGCAAGGTCCTGCCAGATCAATTCCCAGCGCTTAGGGATGGGTATAGTGGTTCATGCCTGTAATGCCAGTACTTTGGGAGGCTAAGGCAGGAGGATTGCTTGTGGCCAGTAGTTCAAGACCAGCCTAGGCAATATAATAAGACTCTACAAAAAAAAAAGAAAAAATCAAAAGTTAGCTAGGCATGGTGGTATGCACCTACAGTCCCAGGTACTTGGGAGGATGAGGTGGGAGAATTTCTTGAACCCAGAAGATCAAGGCTACGTTGAGTTACAATTGTACCACTGTACTCCAGCCTGGGCAACAGAGTGAGGCCCTGTCACAAAAAAGTAAGAAGAAATAAAATAAAATCCCAACCCCTGATCTTGCTAGAAGATGGGCTGCTGCTCCCAGAATCTGGTTCTCCCCCCAGAGACAGATCCCCAACATTGCTAAATGGAAGCGTGCTGCCCTGGAATTCCATGGATAGCAGACACCTGCTACGGGACCTGGCAACGATCTCTCTGGCCATTTGCCCTGACATAGCCAACAAAATGTTCCAACAATTTACTGTGTATTTGGTGACGAGGAAAATTGAGTTTGTCTGGTTGGCTATTTCCCTCTCTTCTTTGGTGAGAGAAGTGCAAGGTACACTAAGGAACTGGTATCCTCCTCTCCCCCGACAAAAGTGTGAAAGCTGGTGTAGAGGCAATGCCACACAAGCAGCCACTGCCACCTTAAGGGTTAGGAAACCCAGCCAGGAGCAGTGGCTCACATCTGTAATCCCAGCACTTTGGGGGGCTGAGGCGGGTGGATCACGAGGTCAGGAGATTGAGACCATCCTGGCCAACATAGTGAAACCCCATCTCTACTAAAATACAAAAAATTAGCCAGGCATGGTGGCGGGTGCCTGTAGTCCCAGCTACTCAGGAGGCTGAGGCAGGAGAATCACTTGAACTCAGGAGGCAAAGACTGCAGTGAGCCGTGATCGCACCACGGCACTCCAGCCCCGCAACAAAAAAAAAAGAGTTAGGAACCGCATTCACCATCTCCACTTCACATTCAATTTATTCATGCTAGCATTCACTGTCATTCACAACCACCAGCACAGCACATCACACCCATGCAGAGCTGGACTGGACTCTCCCTGAGAAACCCAGCAGCCCTCTGAATATGTAACAGGGAAGGAGTTGCCCCAGGCTGACTGGGCTTGCAGACTCTGTACTCCTACTGACAAATAGAGTTGATCTTTTGCACTCTCAATCGCTCTGGAGGTTAATTTGCGCCTCAGACTGTGAAGCTGGACTCTGAATGTCACATATTGAATCCCCAAGCAATATGATATTGCAAAGGGAATGTAGCTAGCAAAATAATAATAAAGACAATTATTTATCTGGCACCTTCCATGTTCCAGGTCCTGCACTTAGCATTATTAAATGTTACTCATTTTATCCCAAAATAGCACTTGCGTATTTCTCTTCTGTTCTATGAATGGAGAAAATGAAGCTCAAGGAAGTTACTAGCTCAAAGTAAAAACAGCAGTGAGTGGCCAGGTGCGGTGGCTCACGCCTGTAATCCCAGCGCTTTGGGAGGCCAAGCGGGGCGCGGATCACGAGGTCAGGAGATCGAGACCATCCTGGCCAACATGGTGAAACCTCGTCTCTACTAAAAATACAAAAAAAAATTAGCTGGGCGTGGTGGCACGCGCGTGTAGTCCCAGCTACTCAGGAGGCTGAGGCTTGAACCTGGGAGGAGGAGGTTGCAATAAGCCGAGATCACACCACTGCACTCCATCCTGGGCAACACAGTGAGACACCATCTCAAAAGAAAAGCAAAAAAAAAAAACCAACCATGAGTTAAAAATAAAATGCACACCTCTCTGAATCCAAAATTCTTGAGCCTTCCTAAAATCATAGCTGCTGGTATTAAAATCGTCACACTAAACTTACTAGAATATGAGTTTGGGGGTGTTTTTGCCATAAAATTCAAATAACTGAATACCAGAGGCAAAACCTGAACTTTACCATTTTCTAACTGACTTTTTCACACGCCAGACTGTTATACGTCATTTCCATGCATTGGATTTACATGAATCTGTGAACCAAACCGCCTCCTTACGTGTCTTTTTCAGGATGATAGCTTAATCAATGTGATCTTTTCCTTTTTCCTTGTTGAAATCCAGCTGATAGCACACATCTAAATAGGAACAGCAGACATGAAGGAAGGGAAACAGGAAGAGCAACAGCAAAGTCAACCAGAGATCTAAAAATGGGAAAAACTGGTCTTCACAAACATGTAAAATATGTAATTAGAAATGCATGAAAACTTCTGAGATAGAGAAAATATCTCTGCTGATGTTAATTTAGCTGATGACTCATGTTGAAATAACAGCTGTTTACAACTCAGTGCTCTTGTCCGGGCCGTATTCTTTGCATCTTTCTCTAATTCAAGTCATTCTTAACACATCCTTCAAGACATAGGGTATCACTTACCAGGTTTCTAGGATGGGCTACTTCCATGGTTCTGTCACCACCATGACTGATGAGGTTTCTGACCTTCCTGGAACTGTGAGCTCCCAGAGGGCAGGCCCTTTGTTGTATCTTTCTTTCCTCGCCTGCAACGGACACACAATGAAAGACTGTGCAGTTGCAGGTAGCAATAGCCAGCAACAAAACACCGGAAAGGCCTAACTCCATATTGTGTAAATTATGGCCACTTACACGGAACCAACTATCTCTCAAATGCCTGACCAAGGGAAAGTTGATTCTGTTGCCTTTCTTATGTCATCAAACAAAAATTTTTAAGTCCCACAAGTTTCTCAAATTATGTCAGAGGCTTAGTGTCATTCAGCACTTGCTGAGCACACTCTCCTTAGTTTTAAATGTCCCTAAATAATTCTAACCTCACCATTTTCTAACTGGTCTTTCTCTTTCCAGATTCTCCTGAAATACGTTTTTCAGATCTGGGACTTTCTCCTGGAGCCGTGTGACCTGAAGCAACCATTTAGCATCACCAACTCTCAGCTCTCTCTGTTTGAACATCTATAAACTCTGCTTTCATGTGAGAATGCACAGAACTCAAGACCATGCCAAGACACAGGTTGGCAGGACTTGCGCTGGGCTGATCCAGGCAGCAGCAATCCAGCTTTGGAGATTCCAAATATGAGTCCTGTAGACCAGAGGATATTTTATTCTTGAATAACAAGTTAAGTCCTTACGGGATGGTTGAAAATCTTGTACATCAAATGTGAGCCCATCCTAAAAGATCCAATTTCCTATGAAGAAAAATTGGTAGAGGGATAAATATAAAGAAGAGAACCTATTCTAAATCTTGCTTAAGTTCTGGGGTGCACTAACAACCGTGAGTAAGCCTAGAAAGCAGAGGGGAGACCAAGCACAAGGAAATTACTCCCAGAACCTTGGGGAGCAAGGAAACGTACTGGGATCCTTTGGGAAGTCTTGTTTTGCTGAGTCAGTATTAGTTACTCCTGAGAACGTCCTAGAAGACTTTTTTTCCCATTAGTTCAATTTTTTTCCCCAATGCTACAGAAGAATGTCAAAACACAGGAAAGTATTCAAAGGTCTGAAAGTCTCAACAGATGTTACTGCCACAACCCTTCTCTTGAAACATGAATTTCATAACACCATTCCCTTTTCCAGGACTTTTGGCATCTCCCCCTACGCTCACATCAATCAATCAGTTAATGCTCCGCAGCATCCTGTTTGGTGCGCAGCCCTCTGCTACACACAGGAAAAACCCAGTCATTCGTTTTTGTTTTGTTTTTTGAGACGGAGTTTCGCTCTTGTTGCCCAGGCTGGAGTGCAATGGCGCGATCTCGGCTCACCGCAACCTCTGCCTCCTGGGTTCAGGCAATTCTCCTGCCTCAGCCTCCTGAGTAGCTGGGATTACAGGCACGCGCCACCATGCCCAGCTGATTTTTTGTATTTTTAGTAGAGATGGAGTTTCACCATGTTGACCAGGATGGTCTCGATCTCTTGACCTCGTGATCCACCCGCCTCGGCCTCCCAAAGTGCTGGGATTACAGGCGTGAGCCACCGCGCCCGGCCCCTCGTTTTTTATTCATTCAAAAAATGTTTATTGAGCACCTACTAGGTGACGGAAGCCACACTGGGCACTGGAGGGAGCATAGATGGATGAGGCTGGCCCCTGCCCTAGAGAAACTCAAACTTTCCTGGGGTTGGCACACAGGTAGACAACAATTACAAAACACTATGATAAGTCAACAGTAAAAACATGTTCACAGAATCCTGCAAGGCCCTAGAGAAGGCATAGCAGAGAAGAAAACACATCAGCTGGGGTTTGAGGGATGAGCAGGTATTCACCAGAAGGCAGAGCAGGAAAAAGGTACCCCAGAGGGAGGGAACAGCGACCTGCTGTGTTGACCTAAGTCAAACACAGGAAATAATGAGAAAATCAGACTATTACTATTCAACATTCGGTGATTAGTTATGTGATAGAGATTACATAAAAGTTTTAGGATAGTAGAAATCAAGAAGTCAGAACTTGGGGTAATAAGAGAAAAACCTCAGTCTTTCTCCAAGTTTTTTGACGGCTCTCCCCAGGTAGAATGGTGAGGGGGCAAAGCACACAGATCTGAGAGAGATCTGAGTCAGAATCACAGCGCCACTAAAAAGTAGGTCAAGCAGGTTCTAACGAAATTAATAATGCAGGAATTTTCACAGCCTCCCCCAACTCACTCATTAAAACAGCTTCTTGCCTGTCTTCTCTCCCCTTAGATCCAAGTAAAGTCTTTCTCTCTGAGACCAGTAGTTTCCGGCTTTGGAATGCAGAGTTGCCTTGGGGCCCCCGGAGATGCAAACAAAGGCCCTCAAGCTAGGGCTGGGGCTGAGATGCTTGGAGCTCCAGCCAGCGCAGGGTGAGAGAAGTGCGGGAGATCACAAAAAGGAGAGGATTCCTCTTTCAGGCGTTCTGGAAACCAAAGGAAAAATTCAATTATTCTGAAAATCTTTTTTGGTTATAGATGAATGTGTGGTTTTGTTGCTGTTGTTTACTTTGTTCTTTTTTGATTTTTTTTTTTTTTTTTTTTTTTTTTTTTTTTTTTTT